GGTGCGGCAGTATAATAATCATACCATGTCATTTCCCTTATGTGTAAATACATCTGCAGGATACATTTGAAAAGTATGTTTGCCAAGCCAAAGGGTGCATACCTTTGAAACTTTAATGGATATTGCTAAATTGCCTACCAAGAATTTTGTTAATTTATATTCCCATTAGTAAGGAATAAATTTGAAGACCTATGTGTCACAGCCACAATGGTGCATTACCATTTTCTTTTTGCCAAGCTAATAGGTGGAGATGGTTTATCAAAATCATTTCAATTTGTATTTCATTATTATGGGTAAGTTTAAATATCTTTTTGTGTTTGAAGCTATTTATATCTCTTTTTATGTATTTTTTTGTGTCCTTTGTTGCTATGGTCTCAATATTTGTGTACCCTCAAAATTCATATGTTGAAATCCAAACATCCAAAGTGATGGTATTAGGGAGTGGGGACTTCGGGGGCTGCTAAAATTATGACAGATTAGCACCCTTATAAAATAGGCTCATGGGAGCTTGTTGTGTTTTCCACCATGTAAGGGCAGAGCTAGAAGCTACCATCTATGAACCAAGCCTTTCTGTGCCTTGATGTAAGACTTCTTAGCCTCCAGAACTTTGAGAAATAAATTTCTGTTGCTTAGAAGCCACCCAATTTATATTATTTTGTTATAGCCAGTCAACTGAGACATTCGGCCATTCTGGGGGTTAGATTTTTAGAATATTTCAATTCCAGTAAATCATTTATATATTACAGATAGTAGCCCTTTGATATGAATTAGAAATATTTCTCTTACTTTGCTGTGTGCCTGTTTATACCTTTTTTTTGTTTGTATGGAAGGTTTTCATATTTATTTGTTTGAATTAATTAGCCTTTTCTTTGAGGCTTTGGATTATTTGTCTTAATAAAAAGGCTTTCTTGGGCCAGGGATTTAACTCAGTGGTGCCCCCATCTGCCTCGCAAGCGCAAGGTCCTGAGTTCGATTCCCGGTACCAAAGGGAAAAAAAAGGCTTTCCCAATTCCACGTATTTTTAAATTTTCTCCTGTTTTTGTTCTGGTGTGTTTCTTTTTTTCCTACATTTACATCTTTTATTTCTTTGAAGTTTTTCTCCTACATTGAGGTATCCATTTTGTTTTCCTGTTGTTCCAATACCATTTATTAAAATGTCCCTCTCCCCCTACACCAATCCTTGTTGCCACTTTTATATGTAGTAAATTTTCATATATTTGAATCTGTTTCTAGATTTTCTTCTTCTGTTCCTTGAAATGTCTGTGTAATCATGAATGTTATTGCTATAGTTTGGCTTTAGAATGTCCCCGGAAGGCTTGTATCAAAGACTTGGTCCTCAGCATGGTGTTATTAGAAAATGGCAGGAACTATTAAGCAATGGGGCATTGTGGGAGGTTTTAGTTCACTAGGGATATGGGACATGGGTCTCTTCCTCTTTATTCTGTTTCCAGCTTTGAAGTGAACAGTTTTTCTCTGCCATGTGCTTCTGCCATGATGACTCACCACAAGCCCAAAAGCAATGTGGTCAACTAATCATGGACTAAAACCTCCAACATAAACTTTCCCTCTTTTTAATTCTCTCAGGTATTTTATTACAGTAACAGAAAGCTGACTAATGCAACCACTAAGCTACATCCTCACCCCAAGATTAAAGTAAGTTTGTAACTTAGCGGTATTTTGTACATTCTCAGTATTGTTCAGCCATCATAGCTATCAAATTCCACAACATTTCCATCACTTCCCCAAAATCCCTAGCTTTCAGATTCAAGAGTGCATTATCAAACTCCTGCCAGAATTTCAACCTAAATGTTTCCAAGCTCCCACAGTCATACAAGCTAATTTCTTAAAATGTATCAGTCTCTCCCCATTTATTGACATGTGTACTGTGTATGTATATATACATACATCCTGTTTGTTTTTTCTCTGGAGATCCCTAATTCATTCATTAAACACCTACTCCCCATCTTCCCTTCCTTGTGGCCCCTGGGAACCACTAGTCTGTTTTTTGTGTGTATGGATTTATCTATTCTGGACACATACGTAGAATTTTATTTTATTTATTTATTTTTTTGGTACCGGGGATTGAACTCAAGACCTTGCACTTGGAAGGCAGGCACAGCACCATTGAGCTAAACCCGCAGCCCAAGAACTTGAAAATACATAATCTTTTAAGTTTAGCTTCTTTTGCTTAGCATATTCTCAAGCTTCATTCACATTGGGGGGTGTATCAGTACTTCATTCCCTTTTATGGCTAAAAGGTATTCCATTGCATGTGTACCACATCCATCTGTTGATGAACATTTGGGTTGTCTCTACCTTTTGGCTATTATGAATAATACTGCCATGACTCAGTTCTTCAGTGTTTGTTTGAACATTTGTTTCTAGTTCTTTTGGGTACATACCTCAGAAGGGAATTTCTTGGTCAAACGGTAATTCGTTTAACTTACCAAAGACCTGCCAACCTGTTCAGAGTAGCTGTTCCATGTTACATTCTCACCAGCAATGTATCAGAGTCCCAATTTTTCCACTTACAGTGTAGCAGACATCCCTGCCCAGTAGTAGCAGGCTATAAGTGACACATGCTTCTTGCGTTCCATAATTTGGCTATATTGTTTTATATCAGGAATCTGACTGAAGCCCTGTGTGATTCAAATGGGCATGTCAGATGGTGGACTGAGTGAGTATAGCTCCTCCCCCAGTGGCTGCCACAGAGACCTAAGACCCGGTCTGTGAAGGGACAGGGCTCTGCTGAGTTATGTATAGCTGAGGTCAGTGTGACCCCAATTAAAATCCTCTCCCGCAAATTATGGCTGCTTACTGACCTGATAGGTTGTTTGCTAATTGTACCCGGTCCCAGTACTGGTTTGTTCTAACCAAGCAAGATAAGCAGTGCTTCCTCCCTTACAGCCCTGCTTGGCACCATCATGCAGATGTTTCATAGTATATCACTAGATACCTTCAAAACATACCCTGTTCTCACTTTCTACTCACACTTGTAATCAATAAATACTGGATGCACTTGGGGGCCTTTGTTTTTGTTGCCCAGAACAGCACTGATCAGCCCGAAGACCCAGCTTTTTCTTGTCTTTACTGTTAGCTTTGTGTTGTAGTGGCTCATAGGAGACCAGGACCCACTGCAGGGGTCTCTGGTGATGTTCCCTTTCCTGTTCCCTATATTATAGTCTATTATTAATATGGTCATCCTAGTGAGTGTGCAGTGATATCTCACCATAGTTTTGGTTTGCATTTCTCCAATATTTAATGATGCTGAACTTCTTTTCTTATGCTTATTGGCCCTTTATAAATCTTCTTTGGAGAAATATCTGCTGTAGAAAATAATTATTACCATGTTTATTTTTAAGTGTCACAACCTCCACCTCTTCCCAAGATTTACTTCAGTATCTCATCAGGCCTTTTTTTTTTTTTTTTTTTTTACCAGGGATCGAACTGGGGACCTTGCATTTGCACAGCAGGTGGCGAAACCACTGAGCTAAATCCCCAGCCCAGGCCTTTTTGTTTTTATAAATGCACCAGAAATTTTATCACTTCCATAACTTCCTGGCACACTGTGACAGGACTTTTAGATGCCATCTTGCAGTTTTCTAAGCTTCATTCACATCATGTGAAGGCAACAACTTTTAAAAATGTTTAGATTCCATTAGGGTACATTTTGCTATCACATTGATGTGTCTTACTAATCATTTCATCCCCACTAGATGTCATTGCTCAGCAGTTCCTGGTACAGAATATGACTAACAACCTTTAGGTAGTGCTCTGTGGTTAAAAATACCCCTTAGACAACTTTAGTGCAGTGCTCTGTTGCAGAAAGAAGTGGCCTCTATTTTTTTGAAGAATGATCTCCCAGGTATGCTCCGAGTCCTTTTCATATCATGGCTATTGCAGATGCTAATAACCTGCTCCTTCTCCTCCCACCCTGAGTACCCTCATACTGATACTGTACTCTTATTACCGGCTGCTAGTTATGCTCCCCAAAGAAGTCCTCCACCTCTGTCATACAGAGAACCTCCCTCTCTGTGGGATAGTCACACTTTGCTGGTGGGATCATGGCTTCCCTTGTGTCCAGGTGCTAATAACCTGCCCCGAAGCCAGGTCCTCACACATACTACTCCAGCCTCAAATTCGGGGCTCCCACTTCCTTCTTATTTGCTCACCTCTTTGATTTCCTAATTTTTGCCCATTTTTCTGCCAACCATTCATCATGTGTTTCTAGACTATCTGCTCACTTAGTTCCTCTTTTCTGGTTCCAAAGAGTTGTGGTCCTTTTTTTTTTTTTTTGGTAACTGGGATTAAACTTGGGACCTTGCGCTTGGGAGGCAGGCAGCGGAATCACTGAGCTCAGTGCCCGGCCCCAAGTTGTGGTCATTTGAATGAATTGCCCCTTGTCTAAATATACTAAGATACGCAGCTTGGGGTGCAGCACAGTGGTAAAGTGCTTGCTTAATATGCATGAGGCATTGTGTTTCATTGCAGCACTGCCAGACCAACACACACACACAAAGACGGATGCACTGTCCTGAGAAAAGACTTGATTGCACTAACTATAAATCCGTATCTGCCTCTAAATCCTAATTACCTTTATCAGTCACATCTCACCCAGCACTTGGTATCTTGCTCCTAAATTAATTTCTCACCTCAATAGCACCCCTAGTTCCCTGAGAAACCTTACAGGACTAGATTCTTCTGTCATATACCTTGCTCTTAAAAAGACAAAAACAAAAGAATCCAATTTTAAAAGTATTTAAAAAGATTATACTTTCCAAAGGTTTTACTAAAACATTTATTTTTTAAACAAAAATATACATTCAATCTCAAATTTACAGCATATAGAAATAATTTATCCAAAGCAATTTGTATTTTAAAATTGTTAATATTGCACCCAACAGTCTTTGACACATTTGCATTGTCAACCTTTCCCACAATTCAAAAAACGGGAGAGTAATCTATAACTGACAAAATTACACAAGCTAACTTTTTTCTGTAAAAAAAAAAAAAAAGAAACATACAATTCTTTTTATTTACAAGGTAAAGTTGTAAACTTTCAGAAATTTATTTCTGTAGAATAACCATGAATTTTATCACACCTAGAAAATGCACTATAAAATTATAATTAAATTTTTCTGTCCTGTGTATATAGAAATGTACACTTGTGATTTCTTCATACGACTTCAAAGGGACTTGAAAGGCATAAAATAAGAAAAAACATTTGAAAAAAATAACTTTTACCTTATGGAGGAAGGTATTTTTCATAACCATGTAAAGTTATCCTTAAAGTTTGAAAAACAGCACTATTCCCAACAGCTTTTTCGGTCAAGACACAAGAGAGGTGACAAAGAGTGCAGCTTCTGTTTAGGGCCCTTATAAAGGATTTTGCATGTAGGCAAGCATGGAAGTTTGCTTTTCAAAATACAGCTCTGGGAAATGTTCTGCAATTATTACCGATATCCTCAGATTTTATTTGTATGTTTATACTTATTTCTTCCACTACATGTTGGGTCTTTCATTTTTATCCCAGGTAGTGCTAGGGAGGGCTCCCAAAGGATCCCCTGGGTTTTAGGCCTATTCCTTTATGTAGCAGCAACCTTTCACTTACTGGATAATGAAGACCAGTCGCCCTGATGACACCACGGCCGTATGTCCAGTGGGCTGAGGAATCTAAAATAGTGCCTGTCTGCCAGCCTTTCTCTCTCCCTCCCTCTCCATCCCTCTCTTTTTTTCTCCTTCCTCCCTCTCTCCCTCCTTCTCTTCCTTTTCTTGTTTGTTTTTTGAGACAGAGTCCCACTATGTAGTTCAAGCTGACCTTCAAAACACTATGTAGTCCAGGCCAGCCTCAAACTCACGGCAAGCCTCCTGCCTCAGTCTCCTCAGTGCTAGGTACTAGGATAACAGGCCTGTGCCACCAAGCCTGGATAAAATAGTGTCTTCTGCCAAAGGGAACTACATCTAAGTTTTTTGATAGAGATTCTTTTTTTTTTTTGGTAAAAAATTAAATTAGTAATTTACTCATAATTACACATATTTATGGAATACCATCTGATGGTTCCTTTTTAAAAAGTGGTGGTGCTGGAGACTGAACCTAGGGTCTTCTGCATGGTGCTGTACACCCCCCAGCCTACCATGTAATATTTTAATAAAGTACACATTGTATTGTGCCCAGATCATTGTTTTTCTGTCTCTTCAAACATTTTTTTTTTTTGTGGTGCAAAGATTCAAAGTTTTTTTCTTCTAGCTTTTCTGAAATACATAGTTCATTATAATTATCTACAGACATCCTACTATGCAACAGAACACCAGAATTTATTCTAATTGTAACTTAATACCCATTGATAATGCCCTCGGTTTTTAAAAATTATTTTGTAAAAAGCCTGTAAATCTTTGTTAGGGCTGGCAGGTAGATCAGTGGTAAAGCTCTTTCCTGGCATGTACAAGGATCTAGGTTCAGTTCCCAGCCACACGCGCGTGTCCTTGGCTAAAAATGCGGCCAATAGGGGGAAGAAACCCGTGCTCTGCGAAATCCGTGAAGATCACAGACAGGAAAAGTCAGTTGGAATTTTATAATGCAGGGTCATTCGAACTGAAATATAAGACGTTTTCTAATTCTTTTGTCCTAGATTGAGTCTGGATTAAAACATTCCCTTTGAATCATAATGACCATAACCAGCTGAGTAATAGATTCTCTTGGCGTTGCTATTGCATAATAGCCCAACCCAAGTAGTTACAAAAATTATTGCCTTCAGTATCATTGTGACACATTCAGTTTAAAAAAAATGGTCCTGAGGGCCTTCCATAAAAAAATAGATATTTCCGGTGTGTGCAGGTGCTCGGCTGCGGGTAACCTCAACTCTCCACCGTTCGCCGGTACTCGGCGGCACCCTGGTGCGCGAAGCCCTCGTCGGCGATGATGGCGTCCAGCGGCGCACGCTTCCGGCGGATGCTGCGCCCTGACGATATGAGGTCTGCGTAGCCCCGCTGGTGCGAGAAGGCGTAGGCCGAGCGCCTTGATGACGCGCCCCGGCGGAACACGTTCTGCCGCCGCTGCCACTGCTCCTCAGCCTTCAGCCTCTTACGATGTTTGTGGATCTGTAAAGGTGGAGAGATGTGGGAGGGCTGAACATGAAGGTCTATGAAAAAGAGGACGCCGGCCAAAAGGAGCTGGGTAGGAGCTGGCCCCAACCTGGGTGTGTGTGTGTGTGTGTGTGTGTGTGTGTGTGTGTGTGTGTGTGTGTGTGTGTGTGTTTCTGTGTGTGTGATGCTTCTAAGCTCTTGCAGCTGGAAAACAGGAAGCCAGGACTTTCACTTTTCCTAAACTAGTGCCCTTTCCAAGTCACAGTTCATTCGGACTGGTACAGGTTGAAGAGAAAACTGTAGCTCTGCTTTCTGCTCTGCTACTGCATACTTTCGTCCCTGCCCGAGGGCTGGGGGAGCCAGGGCGGGGAGTTACTGAAGGCTGCCGGCTCACATCCACTCTCTCCTTTCTGGAAGCTGATTTAGTACAGGTACCCCTCCTCCATTCGCCACATTTTTCATGGGCCTGGGGCTGATTGACTTCCCTCACTAGGTATTAATCCAAGGACAGGCTTGTGACCTACTTCTGGCGAGTCCCGAGGCAAGTGTGCTATGGCTCCTGGGTGAAAAGTCCCGGGGATCCTGGGGGAAAGCTACAGAATAGTCACTCTTTTCTTCTCTGGATATTGACGTTGGGTGTGACACCAAGAGCTGCTGTAACACTTTTCAGTGTGAGATGAAGCTAATAATGAAGACTGCTTCAGAGAGAGATGGAAAGGACCCAACTCCTTTTTTGGCAACATTAATTTGCTCAGTCATCTGAACTTGAAGCCTGGTAATTTTTAACCAAGTGGAGATGGTACATTATTGTTGAGACATTTTGAGTCACGGCCTTCCGTTACTTGTAATTCAAAGGATCCTGTTATAGGAGGGGGCATTTTGCTTTAAATAAATAAAGGGGGGGATACAAACCCTATTTGTATGACAAAATGTTAACATCATAATTGTTAAATGGAAGGAAGAAATATATGGGGCTTCATTATTCTACTCTTCTTTGTTTACATTTGGACATTTTGTATTCAAGAGCAAGCAAACAAAAATCCCACCCCAAAGGGCTTATTTGCAAGATGGAGTTACAGAGAAAGAGAAGCATTCATAAAATGCTTTCTAAGCAAGTTTCCCATGAGTTTGGAAATTTGCAGGAAAGGTGCTGTTGGAAAATGCTTTGATTCCTGTGAGGGACATGCAGAGTTAGAGGAGGACTGTTTCTGTATACCTTATCGCTTTCTGATGGCCAAATGGTCATTGACAAGAAACGGATGGCAATGACAGGCAGTAAACACACTGCAATGGTCAAGATGATAGTCAGCCAAATATATGGCTGCCGCAGGGCATTGGAAGCTGTGCCTGGAAGGAACATGGGAATAAATCACAGTGGTTGTTTCATTCTAAGTACATAGTTTGTATTTCCTAATCCACAAATGGTTTATCTTTGGTAAAGTCTCACAGCCAGATTAGCCTCCCCAAAATAACCCATCACTGCTCAAGGAATGGATATTTTAAAGCAAAGTAAACGGGATGTGGATGTAGCTCAGTGGTAGGTTGCTTGCCTACTGTGCACCAGGCCCTGGGTTCAATCCCCAGTACCATATCAATCAGTTGATCAAACTGCACAAAGCTAAATGAGCAAGGTCAGTTCTTTGTCCAGGCAAATGTACATAAATGAATAAAGAAGAAAGAAAATGCAAAATTAGAATTTGGGGTTTCTGCTCAGTGGTGGAGTATATGCTTAGCATGCACCAAGCCCTGGGTTTGAATAGCAAACACAGACGCTATGGCAACACCTGATTAAAACCGGCTTTTGTCTGATTTGAGCCATGCTTTTCCCACTGTAGTTTGCCTTCCAGATTTTTTTTTTAACCGGGGATCAAACTTAGGACCTTGCGCTTGCCAGGTAGGCGCTATGCTGCTGAGCTAAATCCCTGGCCCGGCCTTCTAGATTTTTATGTCAAAGGAAGTAACAATCCTATAATACAAATAGGTAATCAGTATATACTACTCAACTGGCAGACATCTAGAGCCAAATTTATCAAAATGTTTTCTGTACTTACACTTTTAAATTCATGAAAATAATGATTTTTATTTTTTAAATGTGGTTTTTACACTACCGAATGTGTTAGATTTAAAACTATTTCCTATGGGAACATTCTAAGTACCTGGGCCCTAAAATTTTCAAACAGTCAGTAAGGAAAAACACATCATGAACAAAACTAGCTCCATCGTAAGAAAAGGCTTATCACACCAACTGTCTCATAGCCCAGGAACTGCCCACAGAAATCCCAATCTTTTATAGGGAAACAAGTTTATGGGGCTCTTTTTCATAGTGAATCATCTAAGCTATTTAAATTAAGAATTTTATAAATTCCAGTTTGATATTTATTGATATTTGATATTTATGATACTTATGATATTTATATCGGTTGAAATTCATTCTGGGATTTGTCATTTTCTTTCCTTTTTTTTGGTACCGGGGATCGAACTCGGGTTCTCGTGCATGTGAGGCAGGTGGCAGCACCCTGAGCTAAATCCCCGGCCATGTCATTTTCTTTTATTTTTATACAACTGGCCACATAACTTTTATTTTCTGTTACTGCTCTATATATGTATCTTCAAAGATGTAGCCAACTTTTCAGTTGGTATTCCCTCATATTGGTATTTTATAGTTTGATTAGCTACTTTCATATTCTTAGGGGTTTGTGCTATTTCAGCTTATTCCCTTTTTCATAATTAGAAATGTTATAGAGGTACAGTTTTTGTACAAGTCACTTTGCTAAAATTTGGCATGTTTTATCTCAGGGTATTTTCTTTAAGTGGAAATACCCAGTCAAAATGTATGAAAAGTTTGATGGTCCATTATACATTTTTCAGATACTGTTTTAGAAAGATTATGTTATAGTGCTACCAGCAATGCATGTATACTTATCAGTCTACTGATAATTTGGTTTTATGTAGGAAAAAAGACTTATCTAACCTTTCAGTCATTGAACTAACAAGTATACAGTTGCACCTTAACATTATTGTAATTTGCTCACCACCTTTCACACCCCACATTATCATTCAATTTCCAGTCAGGAACTAATTTTTACTAGAAATAATTGACCTCTATGATTTTTTAAAATTTACCCAGAAGTTATGTCAGAATCTAATGACATTTGTCTGTACATTTATTTTTGGAATTTAGAAAATACCAACCTGTAAATTGAAATGCAGATGGAAAGAGAACATGTATTCCAGCACTATGAAAGTCAAACATGATGCCAAAATAAAGTGCAATGCTTCCAAAAATTGAAAAAGCATTCACAAAAGTCCAGTAGGAAGTATCCAAGCCAATCTGTTGGGAAATCAGAGAAAAGTAGTGCATTCATTTTAAGGAGTTAGCAAGAAAGAAAATATCTAAGAATTCTGAAAATGGGATTTGATAATTTAGGCATGATTTGACTGGAATATCAAACAATCAGAAACCAAACCATCCCTGACTCAGGCAAAAAGAAACTGTGCTTGTGATGAGGGATGAAAATAGCACTCATTCTATAAAGAGGAAGGCTCGGTTGGAGGGAGAATAGTCTGTACATACACCAGCCTATGTACGGATATACTGGGACCAGCAGGCACTAGGTAGAGTCAGGAAAGCCACATACCTGGAAATTGACTGTTATTACTAGAGCTGAGGCAATTGTGACAGCAAAAGATTGGTAGTCTGAAGGTGCCTCTCCATCCTGTCCCACAGTTTGCAGATAAGCTCCAAGAGGGATGAAGAAGAGGACCATCGATGTTAAGACTCCGTGCAACAAGCTGACGAAGAATCTCTTATAGTTGAATAATAAGTCTCTTTGGCCCACTACATACAAAGCAGGGAATCGGAGGCTTAGTTTGTCGCTCACATCCTTAAGGGGAAAACAAAATTAGAGTAGTGTATTGTCCAGTAGGTCAAACAGACGGCAGAGACATTTTCAGCAGGTTTGCTGTTAAGTTTTAGGAAAGCAAGCACTGAATGAGACGACAAATCTTGTCGTATTTCTGTGAGCAGAGATCAGTGTCATGGTTTTAGTCCACCGTTACTTGATATTTAATGCAGAAAGGGACTAAGTAGAATTTTATCATTTTGTTACTTAGGGCAAGAAAATGTCCAAAAAAGGCTATTTTTTTCTTTTTTTTTAACCTTTTGAGAGAATATATTATTTCAAAAATATATTCAAATACATGTTGACAAGTTACTCCTTAATTATCCCATTTTACTTATTAAAGTACTTTTTCTGAGAATTGCTATTAAATAAAATGTAAACCAATTTGAAAATTAAACAAATTTTGGAAAGTGTTAAAATTTACTTTCAAAGTAAATAATTAATATACAGACATACTAGACTCTTGGGTGTCTAAACAGTCTCGTCTTAGTGTCTGAAAGGAACATTCTGATCAATGAATCCAACAGAGTCACAGCAATGCCCTTTTCTTACTACAAAATAAGTACAGCAGTGGGTGCCTCACAACAGAATTATACTAGGGTCTCGTCAGGATGAAACGAAACCTAGAAGATGCACTGACATCTCTGCTGTAACCTCTCTAGCAGGCATCACCTTCTCCTCTCCCCACACCCAGCTCCTACCTGGTCGAGCAGCCCCATGAGGAGCACAGGCAGGCTGGAGTAGAGCACATTGTACAGGGTGATGAACCAGTCCTCATACGCCGTCTGCAAGGGTTGACAGAGGCTCTGGATCATACACAGACAACTGGCCAGGCTGCCTGACACATTTACCTGCTTCCTCTAAGCAGAAATGTCCCCAGCTCAGTGGGGATTTTGCCCATCTGAATAAACACCCCTTATCTACACCTGTAGGAGGTAAGCATTTGTTTCTTCTATCCAATGGGCAGAATCTCAGACCTTTCCATAGAAATAAATCCCACTCCCAAACCCCACCCAGATAAACATGGGTATATGCTCCAAAAAGATCTTGGTAAAAGGGACTGGGGTTTAGCTCAGTGGTGCTGCTGCCTGCCTCGAAAGCGCAAGGTCCTGAGTTTGATCCCTATAGCAAAAAAAAAAAAAAAAAGATTTTGGTAAAAGACTATTGTGATTGAATAATGCTAGAAAATGAATGTTCATCATTTTCATCCCCCTTTATTAGTGAAATAGAATACTTAATAAAACTGGTTCAGAGGTATGTAAATACTATTAAAATTTTTTTTGGTTACTTTTATGTTACAAGGCAAGCATTTCCATGAAAACATTTTATAAAGCATCATCTGGCTAAATATAAAAGAAAACATGTTTCTGAAAGCAATAAACCACACATCATTCCTTAAGGTGGGATGGAGGAAGTGGACTGGGGACCCAGAGTCAGGAGAATGTCCCCAGACCTGCTAGCCCACAACTTGAGGCTCCTTTGACCCCAAGGTACAATGGCAGAACATCAAAAAGAAGATTTGACAACCTAGGTTCATTTCTTACCAATGATATTTTTCTGCTACATTATAAATTTAACACAGAGGTACCCCCCCTCCCATTTCAGCAAAAACTGAAGACAAAAAACAAAAGTAACAGACATGAAAATAGAGCTGTCATCACTCTCAATTTATATAATTCCTTTAGTCTTGGTCAATTATAATTTTACACTTCTCAGTTGGCAGTTTGTTATCACAAAGCAAAGTAACAAAGTGACATGGAAAAGTAACCTAAGATGAAGAGAAAAATATAAGTAATCTCCAAAGGTAAATAAAAACTATTCTTAAAGTACCAGAAACATTCCAGAAAAGCCATATTCTTGATTATACCTCCAACTAGATATGTAACCCAAACTACAAATAGAGAGGAAAAAACCAAATCTGTTCTTTCAGAATTAGGGTTTTATTCATTTAAGAAGAGATCTACTCAATAAAAAATAATGTTTAAACATAATATTTTATTACCTGTGCAGAGTAGCCATTGAAGAAGGAGTACCAGAAATGAACCAAAGTAAATGCAAAGTTTTTATAAAAGAAGTATCGCAGGAACTTGCACATCCTTATGTAAGACCACCGACCATGCACCAGCAGTAGCCTCTGCAGGTATCTGAACTGGGCAAAGGAATAATCACTGGACATGACAGCTTGCATTCCTTCTTGTCCACTTATTCCAACACCAATGTGGGCAGCTATGAGGCAGAAGGAGAAGACACTGAGGATCATAAGTGGATCATAAGATGACAAAAAATGTTTCTTTAGCAAAACAAAAAACAAAGACATATGCATTCATGGAACAATACACACAAAAGCTCTTGCTCACCATCTGTCTTTCCCAACTCCAAACCCAGCTCAAGAGTCAGAGGTACAAGTTGCTAAACAAAGCCTCCATAAATATTTGTGAAAGGATCTCAGGTGGGTGGTGAATTCCATTTGGCTTATCTGCCCAGTATATAAGCCATACCTCCCACCTGCAAGGTAAGCCCCAGGCACCCATGTATGCCCTGTGTGTCCCTGTCTTGTTGACCACAGCCAAGTCAGCCATGGGCAGATGCATAATCTGTGGTAAATACTATGAACTGGCTCTCTCAACCTTTGTTCCAGCCTTATTCTAATTGGAGAGGTTCTCAGATTACCTTGGTGGCTAGGTTCTCACTGTGAATGAGGTTCACTGTTTAGACCCACTTGTAACTTGAAAGAAGTGAATGGGAGCCTGGCAACCCTTCCCTTTTTTGGTATTTCTATGGTAGAGCTCATAACCATTCTCCATCTGCCCAGATGTTGCTAGGCAACTGCAAAGGCTTCTCCAATTGAGCAGGTCGTCAGAGGAACCTCAAAGGCAGAAGCTTTCGTGAGTAACCCAGAGGTTAGAGACTCAGCCTAGAACCAGCTGTTTCAGTCCATCAAGAGCTTTTCAAAGCACCTACTTCCTCTGTATTAACCAGTTTTTGCTACAAGTACCTACAGGGCTCTATTTCCTGCACTGAACCTTCATTGATAGAAAACCCAAGCTGGGCCAATGAATCTCTCTCTTGATCTTCTGGAATTAGTGTTCAGATGTGTTTGTGTCTGGAATTTTAACATGTAAATTCCTAAAATGTGGAATGGATGTGTTTTTTTCTGAAGGGTCAGAGAGAGAAAGTATTGGGACAGTGAGGGAGAGAGACAGACTGACTGACAGATGCTGGGTTCCTGGTGAAACTCTAGGTGCTGGTTTCAACATCTTTCAGAGGGTTAGCTTCTTTATGGGCAGCGTGAGACATCTTTTTATCTTTCTAAATGAATTTATGTTTTCCAAAGCTTACTTTGGTTGCCCTCCTATACTTGTATTTAAAAGAGTTCTAACACCCTCTTTAGCTTTCAAAGGCTTATTTATCAATGGCCTACTATGACCTTAACTTGTGTGTGTGTGTGTGTGTGTGTTTGTGTGTGCATGCACATGTGTGTGTGTGTGTAGTTTCCAGAATGGATAAAAATTAAAGTCATAATTTTATTCATCCTTCCAATAGCCATGATGTAACATTTCAAGTTAGAGAATTGTGAATTTTATCTTAAGTATCAAAAGTCATCAATGTGAAAACTGACAGAAGAGAAAATGTATTGGCGAAAACAACTTATTAGTGCACAAACACTGAGAAGTGACTGCCAACACTATTTCAATTAGAAGTTTCAAAAATCTTGCCCCAGTTGCAGAACCCAAGGTCTGGAAAATTAAAAATATAACTGTAGCGACTTGTCCAAACCTATGTTTTCAGTTACCCTTTGCAGTTCTGAAAAATAGAAGCAACTGCTTTTCATTCAGCATTTATGAGTTTTTTTCAAAACACAAATAGTTCTTATGACCCGTGTGGTTGCCAAACTGTTCTTAACTCCCAAACCATGGCCACTTTTCCCTTCCTGAACAAGCCATGGAGAGAAATGTAGAGAATCTCTTTTGGCTTTTGAGGCTAAGGAAGAGGAACCCCTGACCCAGGGCCTGCTATCAGTTCAGCCTTTCACTGAGCAGACCAAAAACATGTGAAGTAAACGTGGGCATGGTTCACAGCATAACTAGAGGCAGCTGAACAGATGCACTATAAGGCAACACTATTTCTTGGTAGGGTTTTTCCCCCTAAAATCTAAGTATAGGCAGGGAAATTTTTCTGAAGTTCCAAATGCAGGGTGAAATGCCTCACTGGTAGGCACTGTTTCAGAATTCCTTAACAATCTGATTATTTTTTCAAGGCATCCAGCTGGTATAAGACATCTTCAGGCACAACACAGGCAGAACACAGCCTCTAAGGGTCTGTGGACCTTTGCCAGGGACAAAAAGTGGTCACAATTTCCTCGTTTCTATAGCTGATGGTCAGATTGCTTTTAAAATCTGAATTTCACTGTAGAGTAAGTCCCCAACTTAGAAACTTTCAAGTTTCAAACGTCCACAGACACAAATGGATCTTGCATTTGTTTTTTTGAATTTTGGGGGGGGGGTTTGGCTTTACATTGTATATTTGAGCGAAGGTGTATAAGACTCACTTTGTTGGACTTACAAATGAATCCGACTTACTGATGTTCTCCTAGAACGGAACTTGTTTGTAAGTTGGGGCCTTACTGTACTTCTGTGACTAGCAAACACTTTCCTTCTGTATATTGTTCTTGATGCAGCTGAAAGAAATGGGAGCTTTTACAAAGTCAAAAAAGGAGCCAGGTGGGATGGTGCACATCTGTAGTCCCAGTACTCAAGGAGACCGTAGTTTCCTATATTTTCATCCTAAATGGTGCTCCATAAGTTATATATAAAAATACCTGGCATATAACAAGACTTAATGAAAAATTTAAAACAAGAAGAAGCCTTTACAAGGTTTATATATATTGACTTTGTTCTACCCATATTGCTATCAAATGTTAAACTGAGAGGAACAAAAAACTTCAAGCCTGTCATACAATAAAATGGTAAATCTGCAAGGCAAACCACCCCCTGCCTTTTGCCTTCTCCAGCATCTACAAGACTATGTTATAATTGAATGAAAATAATGTTTAAGTTACCCTTTTTTAGTTTTGTTAAGGGCACATAATGGAAAATAAACTAGAGCTGGCTAGAGAGAAAAGAAAGAGATCTGACTGAGAGCAAAAGTGCTATTTGTATGGTAAGACGAGCACATGCATAAAACTGGAGAGGAATTAAACTGGCAGTGGCAACAGATATAGGCATTGATAAAAAAGCGAGAAGACATACGTCATATAGATGACTCCTGTCGAGGAACATAAAGTTGGAATATTCTTAGTATACATCAGGGAGGAAGAGGAGGAGGAGGAGGAGGAGACTCTAAGAAAAGAAGAGATGGACTTGTGAGTCACAAAATAAACCCAATTAAAATCTAGTTATTTATAATGCGTTTAAGCTACCCAGCACAACAGGAATGCATATATAGGTGTAGTCGTGTAACGATTCATCTTTGAAGTAACAAGAATAATATTACAGAGCTAGAAGTAACATTGGAGAAAATTTTCTTGTTTTCATATGAGAAAACAGGCCTGAGCATAAGCCCCACCTGACACAGGCTGTTAGCAGTAGGAAGAGAACAAGTATTCCTGTATCCACTAGCTTGGCTATTTTCACTACTTCAATGGAGTATCCCTAATTCAAAAATCCAAAATTTAAAATATTCTGAAATCTCAAAATTTTGAGCAGCACTGAAAAAATTTATGGAAATATTCCAGAATTGAAAGGCCCTAAAATCTGAAACACTTCTGGTCCCCAGAACTTTCAGACAAGGGATACTCTACCTATACTCCTTTATAGTAATATAGGGAGAAAGAAAGACCAGGACTCACATGCAGACAAGGACCCCAGGTTTGTTTTGTATGCTTTAATGCCAGTGCAATGGTGTCTCTGTGTGACAGAACTCAACTCAAACAGCACCACAACTCCTGGCAGTCTTTTAGGCAATTCAGTGAGGACACATTGAAGTTTTACCTCATTGCTAAACATGTTGTTCCAAACACCAGGTGCCCCAATGATGAAGTTCAACAGGTTTATCAAAGATAGGAAAATAGTCACAGAAAGAGATGCTTAGGTGAGGGAAAATAGTATTTTCGAAACAGATACCAGAAAGAGTTCAACAATTATGCTCATCCCAGCAAAATTTTTCGTAAAACTTAAGTATTAGGGTTTTAAAAAAGGCCTAAAGAAATATGACAGAAATTTCAAGAGGGGAATAGAAACCACACTGAACATATGAAGAAAGAAGTAATGATAATGCCACTCAACAGAACTCATCTTCTACTTGGATTCTTTGAGTATTACTGTCACTCCCACAGCATGCAATGTAGGCTTCCTGAGGGGTGGGTCACAGGCATAGCATGGTCGGGTGCCTTCATTAAAGGTCTGCTTTATGAAAACTTCTGCAATGAAATCTGAAGACATGAACCCCTCAGCATTCCTGTTTCTCCTCAGTAGCAAGCTGGGCCCCATGGGCCACTTGTGTGGAACTCACTTTTGATCATGTTCACGTCGTTGGCTCCATCTCCAATGGCCAGCGTGATGGCCTTCTTATACCTCTTCACCAGGTCCACTACCATGGCCTTCTGCTTGGGGGTGACTCGGCAGCAGATGACAGCGCTGCACTCACAGGCTAGGTCCACAAAGTTCTTCTGTCGCTGCTCTTTCTTAGCTTCAAGCCTTCTCTTACTTTGGGTCCGCATTCGTCTCTCTTCTTCTGTCTTGGGAAACTTCAGCTTCAGAATATTGCTTTTCTTAGTCTTTTTCTCTAGAAGAATTTCATTCTATAAAATCACAGAGAGAAAGGATTACTAATCAGTTTAAGTTTTACACCAAGAGTACAATGTTCAAGACTTCAGTTATGTGAAAGCTAGGTCATGGGTTATATCATTGATTATCTGTTCTGATTATAAAACATTTATGACAAAAATTTAGAAAACACAAAAATCTACAAAGAAAAAAATTGAAAATTACCACATTAGTTATAAGCCAAGATAAACACTTTTATTAATTTGGGATAATTCTTTTCATATGTCCCACAATATTAAGTCTCAAATTTGGAAAATCAAACTTGCATTTATAGGCTAAGAGATTTTTAAGTTGGAAGTTAATACACAAAACCATTGAAAATGGGTCCAAAATGAACTTCTCTCATTTAGTCAAAGGTGCAGACACTCGCATGGTACATACCAACCAAGAACCAGTGATTATTAAGGCGCGGTTTTCACCAGGTGGGAAAAAAGGTTCTCGTACAACAGGTGCAAATTTTGCATAGACTCCACCTCTGTTTCTCTGGTTTTCCATCCTTGTGTGAAGAAGAGAACTGTGAGAAAAATAAATATAAATGATTAAAATACAAAACTATAAACAGGCCCTAGACTTTGAGACAATTTTGATATATAATTTTCTAAAAGTTATATTAAACATAAAAATTTATCTTACCCATTTTTAAGTTTACAGTCCATAGTGTTGAGTATATTCACACTGTTGTGTAAATAATCTCCAGAAATTTTCCACATAGTAAAACTCAAAACACTATACTTTACTCATTAAATAACAACACCTTGCTTCTTTCTCTTCCCAGTCCCTGGTAATCTACTTTGTGTTTCTATGAAGCTGACAACTCTAGATAGCGTATATATGTGTAATCAGATAGGATTTGTCTTTTTGTGACCTATTTCATGTAATAGCCTCAAGATTCATCTATACTGTAACCTGTCATAATTTATTTTTCTTTCGAGGGCAAATAATACTCTGTTGTGTGGACACACCACTTTTTGTTTATTCATACATTGATGGACACCTGGGTTGCTTCCACTTCTTGGCTATTTATGAAAAGTACAGTTACAAACATGGGTATATCTTCAAGATCTGGCTTTCAACTTTTTAGAGACTATCCCAAGAAGCAGGATTGCTGGATCACATGGTAATTCTCTTTTTAAATTCTTTTGAGGAATCTCCATACTGCTTCCCATAGTGGGTGGGAAGGACTGCTGCTGCGTTTCTTTTCCTCCCAAGAGGGCCAAGGGTTCTTTCTCCACAGCCTGAACACTTGTTATTTTATTGCTTTTTCCTTTCTCTCCTCCCTCCCTCCTTTTCTTTCTCTTACTCCTCCTCATTTCCCTTCCCTCCCCACCCTCCTCCTCATAGGAGGTGATAGCTCCTAGTAGAGTTGATTTGCGTTTCCCTAATGACTAGTGATGTTGAGCACTGTCTCATGTTCTTATCAGCCATTTGTGCCTCCTCTTAATCTTACTAAGTTTTGATTCTTCTACTTTGGGGGCCACCATATTCTTGGTATTTCACTGCTTGCCAAAGGAAGATACACTTGACAGTGTGTTCATAAGCAGCAAAAGGAAGGCAATCTTGAATTATAATACCTTGGCTACAAAATTACGTCCATTTTTGAAAATTCTCAGTGCTTTATGTCAACAAATTATTGACATGTAAGTCTTCCTTCTTCCATCTCTCTCTCCTCTCTCTTATTCTGTCTTCTTGTTTCTCCCTGCCCCCTACCCCTCTCCTCCCTCTCTCCCTTCCTTTCCTCTCTCTCTTTCTTCTCTTTCTCTCTCTCTCTTTTTCTTTCTTTTTCTTCAATACTGGGGATTGAACCTAGGGAGCATTGAGCTATACTCTCAGGCCTTTTAAATTTTTATTTGGAGAGCAAGTCTTGCTAAATTACCCAGGCCTCAAATTCAGGATCCTCCTTCAGCCTCCCAAATAGCTGAATTACCAGTGTGCACCACCACATCCAGCTAGTAACACTTTCATGTAATGGAAAAATGAGTCATGGAGTTTAGGAGTAGAAGGGGCCTCAAATATCTTGTCCAATGTCTTCATGTTACAAATAGGGAAATTAAGCCAGAGCAAGGTGATATGCCTTCTTGCAGCAAGATGATGGAAAACTGGAAAGAAGACTTATGTTTCCTCACTTTCAGCCTAGGGCATTTCCCATTCCATATACTGAGCCATTATTTTGTAGCTTTCAAGGAAGGTCTCTCAACCTTGGCACTACCAGTGTCTTTGCCCAGATAATTCTGTAGTGCGTTGCTGCTTCCTGTAAACTATAGGATATTTAACAGCATCCCTGACCCCTACCCACTAGAAGCCACTAGCATCCCTCTTGCCCTGCTGTAGCCACCAAAGATGTTTGTAGACATTGTATAGCTGGAGGGCAAATGCTATCATTGAGAACTACTGTACTACAAGATTGGGTATTTACTATCCCTTCTCCACATTAATTTAATTCTCATTTTCAAGTTAAAAATGATCAAGACAAAACATTAAAGGCTGGAATAGGCAGGGTGTGGCAACACACACCTGTAATCCCAGCTACTCCAGAGGTTGAGGCAGGAGGACTGCCCAGTTCAAGGCCAGCCTGGGCAATTTAGCAAGACTCCATCTCAAAATTTAAAAAAAAAATAAAATAAAAGGCATTAGCGATATAGGTCAGTGCTCCCTGGATTCAATCTCCAGTACAGCAATTTTTTTTTAAAAATTAAATTAATTAAAAAATAAAGACTGAAAGAGAAAAAAAAACATGAAGTTACCTATTCAAATCATTTTACAGGAGTCACCATTTCAGGAACCATCTAGAAAGTTGATTCACCTCTCTGTAAAGGGACTCTTGGCTAAGAGCTTTGCTACATGCATAAATTTTATATTTTAATTTAGTATAGCGACCAATTTCTAACCCTTTCAAAAGAGCAGAAATTAAGGCCCCCATCTACAAAAATAAAGCCATATGATAATTAAGCAAATTACCGGCAGTCAAAAACCACTTAAGTAAACATACTAAACATTTGTCTGTTGCTACTTTTTTAAAACTTAAAAGCACAAAGAGGCATGGTTTATGTGCCTCTATTTAAGCAGAACTGATTTAGATAATAAGGCTTCTGATTTTGCCTAATTTAGCGGAGTGTCTAAATACTGGAAACACTCACAAATGCTCTATCATCATCATTAGAAAGAAGACTAATAAGGACCATTAACTTCTGCATCATCTTAGTCGACCTAGCAAATGTGTATATTAACAGCTAACTTTGACCTTGTGCCAGCCTGACAGTATTTTGAGAAAAAATCTTAAGGAATAAATGGAACTGTTAAGCCATCAGTGAGCACATCTTGGTAACTGCGCCTAGTATATTTATAGCTTCTTAACAAGACAGGGCTTTTCTCGTCTACGTTTCCAGGTCTGCTGCAACTCTGATTCAGTGCTAAAAAATGTTCTGGCATAAGCTGAGGTTTAAAAATATCAGGCCTGCCCACTTCTAGCTAGAGTACAGATGACCTCATGATGTAACCCACTCATTCCTTCTGGGACAAAGTTGGTTGGTCCCACCCTCCTTTTATTTCTCTTCTAAAAGGTAAAATCCCTAGAAAAACCAAAAGCATAATTCATATTAATTTGCTGGTGATATCACAGGTGTACTGCCTTTTTGAAATGAAGGAGCACCAAGGGCTTCTAAAGAATGGAGAACTGTATCCCCTAAGAGGTCCCAAGTTTCCCTGAGACTAACATCTACTCAAAATAAAGCAGACCCACTGTAACTTGGGACTACCTGTTGTTCTCTTGTTTACTTTAAACCCAAGCAAACTCTCCCATGTGACATATTGTAGGTCCTCTTGGTGCAAATATGGTGCCATCTGCGTCTAGTCTTGACTTTGTGAAAATGAGGTCCTACAGAATTTCACACAGCAAGCCCTTTACTTACTTTATATCTTCCCCGTAGCAGATAGTGGTGTCTTCTGTCAGAAGTTCACAAGCAAATCCTATGTTTTCGGCAGTTTCTACAATAGATGAAACTAAGTTAAATGTCATTCCTACTGTTGAATTAAATAGTTGGCCTTTTCTAACACAGATTGTATATCCTGATCTGCAATGCTTGGGACCAGAAATGTCTCAGATTTCTTTTTTTGGATTTTGCAGTATTTGCATATAAATAATGATATATCTTAGGGACAAGTGCCAGGCAGGTCTAAAAACAAAATTTGTTTATGCTTCATATAGACTGTATACACATAGCCTGAAGGTAATTTTATACAATATTTTAGGTAAATATGACCTGTCACATGAGCTCAGGTGAGAAATTTTCCACTTGTGGTATCAACTCAGCATTCAAGGCCAAGCACAGTCGTCTGTAATTCCAGCACTTGGGAGGCTGAGGCAGGAAGATCACTATGAATTTGAGGCCAGCCTGAACTACATAGTGAGTTCAAAGCAAGTGTGAACTATACAGCAAGACCCTATATCAAGAAAAACCAAACTACTATGGCTGGGGATTTAGCTCAGTGGTGCTGGCATCTGCCTTGCAAGCGCAAGGTCCCGAGTTCGATCCCCAGTACCAAAAACAACAACAACAACAAACTACTACTACTAATGTCAGTACTCAAAAAATTTCAGATTTTGAGCATTTTGGATCTCAGACTTTCAGATTAGAGACTGAACATGTAATGATTTCTTTCAACTCATGAACATAACCAGATTCAACCAAATATGCTATTTTTCTATAGCAATATATAGAAGTCAAGTAAAGAAAAAAATCCCTTTCTCTGTAATAAGTGAGTCAAAGGCTAGGTTGAGATGCTTCGAATAATAAAATATGCTATGTTATCAAGTATATAAATTGGTTATTTAATAAATTAATTGTGCATAAACTACTAAGCATGCTCAGATTATGCAGTTTAATCACTCTGCTATTGGGTGGGGCAAAGGAAAGCATTTCTCTCAACCCTCACATGGGGCTCATCCTGACAGTATTTTTCCCCTTCTTCCATTACCATTCATTTGGTACTTATTAAAGGTCAGGGCTGTTCTTCCCTTGACTTGGCAGAGTGTGTAACCCACTGATGAAGTCGGACCAAGAGACATTCTCTGATCTCCTGTGAGAGGCTTGTGAAATAAAGGATCAATGCCAAACCATAACTTGTTGAGCTCTAAATTTAAAAGTTGAAATTTTTTCTGAAGTATAAATATTTAATTCTGATTTTCAAGCAATAAAACAGCCAAGGAAAACTGTAGTTCAGCACTTTGTATTGTTCCAGTGTACGTCCAACAAATGGAAAACTGCTGGGACGACAGGAGGGAGAGGGAGTTGGTGTTTGAGGGGAGGGGCTCATGCCTGGCTCGAGAGATTAAGACCAATCACAATCAGTAAGACACAGCGAGGGTCACTTACGAGCAATGAACTCTGCCACTGAGGCACTTAAGGGAAGGAGAGGGGCACGATGGGCTAGAAGAAGAGGAAGGTTTTTAAGAAGAGAATGTGTCTTCTTTTAAAGAAATGGATAGTGTTTGTACAGGACGGAAGGTCATCTTGTGCAAAGGAAACAGGAGGTATAAATACTTGTGACTTAATAGATATGCTTCCCTATACCATAAAGTACCCTTTTTGTCTCCAGTGAGCACCCAGATCTTAATATCAGCTTTTGCGAGTTTTGAAATGGTTTCCGGCACTCCATCCTGTAGCTTGTCTTCAATAGCTGTAGCTCCTAATAGCTGGAACATACATTTGGAAAAAAGCAATTAGAAAATAAACCCCAAATTTTCTTTAACTTCAGTTTGCCAGCCTCTAAAAGAAGTGATAATTATACGCCCTGCCGGTTCTCTACAGAGGCCAGGGGCCAGCTTTGGCAAGAACGCCGCCATGCTGCTCACACTGCAAACCAAAACCACACAGCACTTTCCCTTAAAGCATGTACTGTTTAATTTACCAAGATAAATATAAACAAATAAAAAAGCAAGTACAAAATCAGTGATGTTAAAACCACACATTCATTATAAATTTACTGCTTTAGATGGATTTGTTGGCCTTTTCCCGTTAATCTAAACTCTACTGGCAATAAGTATGGTTTTGGAAAACTTCATTTAAAAATGGTGTATTTCTCTTACTTCAAAATTTTTCAAAATGTTTCAGTAATTCTAATAATGAAAGAAATTCTGGTTTGTTATCATATAAAACTCACAATGAATTTTCAAAAGTGATATAAAAATAATGGCATTAGATCAGAACCTCTCTGAATTTTATTTTTCCTTTTGGCTTCTCCAACACTAACTTCTATTTTGTTTTTCAGAACAGAGAAATTCGAACGACCTAGTTTCTTTGTACCAATTTCAAACACTGAAGTTAGAATGATCTTGAAAGCACAAGATAAAAAATGTAATGAAATGTAATAAAATTTTCAATCCAGCTTAGAACATCAAGGAAAAGTCCTTATGGCTAAAACTCACAATTAAGTCTTTTTCAATCTCCTCATACACTTTATCCAGAGCTTCATCCCGGTTGGTTGAGGCCACACTAGCAGCCATAAACTTTTTATTCCATTCTGCAAATTCTTTTTCTTCAATTTCCTTGTAGCAAAGGCACAGAGTTCGAAGAGTTTCACTTGCAAAGATCTATTTTGTTTAAAAGACAATCCACCCATGCAGAAATAGTTAACTTTGTGTAATTTAAGATCAGGTTTGAAATCTTACTCTGAGTAATATACTAAGAGAATTTAAAAAGCGGCAGTGAAATATGAAGGATTCTACAGAGGGATTAAACTTTAGTTTATAATAGACTGTTTCCTAAGCATTCTCAAGGTCTTAGATCTATAGTTCTAGTTCCTAAATTAGTTAAAAGGAAAAGATTACCTTTATTTTAAATCAAGTCACAAGAGTGATGAAAACTTTTTTCTCAATAACTAAAAAAATAACAAAGGGTGTAATGATGTTATAAACAGACCTGATAACTTTATAAACTGTACCCATAAAATGTGTTACAATGCCAATAAATTATGAACGCTCAACCAAATATCAATCCTCAGACCAACACTAAAATCTGTGAGCCACATTGAAGCTGAGATCAAACATTTTCAGAAAAAAAGTATCTGGAAATTTTCCTATGCTGAGCAGATTTAAATAATTCTAAATGGCTATAATATGAACAAATAAAAATCTTTTATTCCTTCATAGTCACATCTTGTCTAGCCAAGACAGAAGAACTGGTTCAACTTAGTGCTCGCTTTCAAAGATTCTTTAGATGGTTCTATATTTAGTTGATTAGATTGACAATATTCACATTCTCCTGAGACTCAATCTGTTCTATCTGCATTAGTGAGAGTACATCATCTAAAATGTGACCCCATTAATAGACTACACATTCATCAGGCTTCTCTTTGCAGGAGGTTTGGCTGACTCTAAACCTCAAAAGATGTTTAAAATAAAGGGAGGAGCACCCTGCATTAATGACCTACTAAGTGCAAAGATGTTTTTACTTGCAAAGAGCTTCCATGGTAGGAATTATTCTTTCCCTTTTCACATGGGGAATTAATGGTTCATATAATAAACTAAGCATTTTTCCAAGGACACATATCTAGTAAAGAGGCAGAACAGAGACACAAGTTCTGGCTAATTTTCTCTGTACCTCACTGCTGACATCACACAAAATCAAAACAAACTTGTGGACAATTTCTAAAGTGCAAGTTCCAGAAATATTCTAGTAGCTGCAGTATCACTGGGCAGTGTACCAAGATAAGGACTTTGATGTAATTAAGGCTAAACTTTTTTTGTGTGTGCTAACAAAAGCATCAGAACACAATGATCTGTCATCTTTCTTTGTTATCCCCTGTCTTATAGGAATGATTTCTTGCCTTCACTCTATACCAGGAAGTTGGTGGAGTTCTTGGAGATCACAGAAATATTAAGATTATAGCTTAATGTACAAGAAGAGATTTAAAAAAAAGAAGGCTTAATTTAAAAAAAAAATACAACATTAAAAGATACATTGCCATTAACTCCCCTCAAAGTACCCCTCTCACTTTTAACATACTTAACCCATCATTCTTGATACTTTCTGAAGCAATTCTGGAAGTCTTCTTTCTTGAGTATCTTTATGTGATATGATCAAAAATAGGAAAGGCAGGCTCATGGAAACACTACAGTGTGTCCTCCTCCACCTTATTCACCAGATCTGGTGCTGTGCAATTTTTGGCTCTTTTCCAAAGCCAAAATGACCCGAAAGGTAAACATTTTCAGTTGATTCAGGACATAAAGGCAACCATGACAGTACAACTAAATTAGACATTTACAAAAGAGGACTTCCAGAACTGAGTCAGAAAATGAAAAGAACAATGAGATAAGTGTGTTTGAACCAAAGGGCATTAATGGCAATGTGTCTTTTACTGTAATTTTAAAAAATTTAAATACACACTGTATTTTTTGATAACACTTTGTAGCTGAAGCTTGCTCAAGATCACTGGCAAATAGGCCACTCAGACCTGCAGACAGGAATGCTGAGAAAGGGCTCCATGGTCATTTCCTAGGATGTCAGCAGCAGGGGCAGAACTAGTACCCATTTGGCCATACTCCTGTTTTGGTGCTGAGGGTCAACAGTCAAGTTGTACCTTTCATGTAAGTTTAACAGACAGTCACAGAAAGTAAGACCAGAATCTCTAGCGGATATAGAAAAAATGAGACTTACATCCAGGGCATCTTGTGTTTCTTGCTTTATAGGATTCATTCGATGTAATCGCTCATAAATTACAGTGTCAGCACCTTTGCAATAGAGCCTGATATTGCCTTCAGGGGTCCTTACTGGTAGCAAGGAAAGGAAAAGCACATGATGGACTCAAGTTCTTAATAGAAAATTACATTTATAAAGTTAATATGAAGGGCTACTGTGCTCATAATTGATGAGTTTAACATTAATGCATCTAGAAAAGTGTTACCTTCAACAAGGTTGGTGAGCCACTGTCTACAATGAATGTAATAGTGAAATAAATATGGAAAGTTTCCATCATAGTCAACTCAGTTTTTCATGTCTACTTATTCTTTTAACAAATATTTAGACTCCTATGTACTATATCTTGTGCTAGTGACTTTTTGCCATAGAATTTTCTTTGTCCGTGCCAAGGAATCTTTCTTACCTATGAACTCATGACATTTACACCAGACCATAATATGTCTTCTATAACCACTTTCTTGTATTTTGAGCCACCCAATAATTTAATTGCACTATGTGCCTCATCACTAACTAGATTTCAAGATCTCTAACATAGATGCCAGGCATGATAGTAAGTTCAGACCAATGTTAGGAACACAGCACTCAGTAAGAGTTCAGTAGACAGTTAGACATATGTATTTTTATTGGGTAAAAATTCAGTGTCATAGTGGAGAAGGCTTATGGATACTACCTTAACGAATTGACCAAAGTTAGTGCCACCATTAATGAGACAAAATGACATCATATGCTTTCTGTGATTTCAAGAAGGGCACAGAATCACATATGTTCTTTCCTGTCAAGAATATATAACATGGGCCGGGGATTTAGCTCAGTGGTTCTGCTGCCTGCCCTGCAAGCTCAAGGTCCTCAATTTGAACCCTGGTACCAAAAACAATTTTATATATATATAT